CCAAGGGTACTTGCCAGTACCCCGAGCGCAGATCGAGAGAAGAAAAAAAATCGGCTCCATGAAGGCTGTCAATCGCGTCATCGATGCGTGGCAGTGGATAAACATCCTTGCGAGTGATCTTATTGAGCCGTCTGTAGTCCACACAGAACCGCACAGAACCGTCTTTCTTCGCAACAAGAACAACAGGAGACGCCCATGGACTGTCCGAGGGCCGAATAACATCGCGTCGGAGCATATCGTCAACCTGATCATTAATTACTCGACGTTCAGCAGGCGACACGCGATATGGACGTTGCCGTAAAGGTGGATGGGCACCAGTGTCGATGCGATGCGTAACAACGGACGTGCGACCGAGAGAACTTCGCCCGACATCGAAAGAAGAACGATATTCTTGCAACAGGTCCAGAAGTTGGGAACGCTGTACTGGCCGTAAGGTTGTCAGCGATGGAGGGGCCAAATACATCAGCAGATGACGAATCAGAAGTGGAAACAGCATTGATGGTACACGACCTGGGACCGCGCGTGTCATCGGGTACGTCCAGGACTTGTGCGTCGTCGACTGGTTCCACTCTGCCGAGACATTCCCCTCGAAGCAAGGTAACAGCATACGGGGACGGGTTGGTTACAAAAATAGCAGTGTTGCCCTGGTTGACCTGCACGGTCGCGAAAGGTACTAGCAACCCTCTCCTGCTGCAAGCGCGGTCAGATGGCGAAACAAGTCCAATGGTGTCGGAGAGACCAGCGCAGTAGACAGACACAGCCGTCGTCGAGTTTGGAGGCACTGTTGTATCGTCTTTCGTTAGAATCTTGCTCAGTGTCGGGGGACTGTCTTCTGGCGTCAAATGCGAGAAGGGTGAGAGCTCAATTTCGGCGGCGGCACAATGGATGACGGCGTCATGGCGGGAGAGAAAGTCCCACCCCAGGATGACGTCATGAGAGCATGCCTGAATGACGATGAACTGGGCGACATACAGAACGTCCTGGATGACAACGCGAGCTGTGCACCCTGCTGTAGGATAAATGCGGTGCAAACTTGCAGTACGGAGGGATAACCCAGAAAGTGGCGTCGTCACTTTTCGAAGTAAGCGGCAGAGTTTTTCGTCCATAACTGATACGGCAGCTCCAGTGTCAATAAGCGCCGATGCACAAACACCGTCCACAAACACGTCAATGACATTCGAGGGGCTGCTCTGAGGGCTTTCACATTGCGATAGCGTCGCAGTCCTTGCCTCGGGGACTGCGACGACTAGTTTTCCCGCTCATGAGCTGCCGCACTTGGCCGCATGGGGGACAGGGAACGACGTCGTGGAGACGGCGATCTTCGAGATGGACCTGGGCGAGATCGAGGTGGCATAGACGGCGGTTCTTCGCGATAAGGACGGCTGAGTTGGCCAGCAACAGGTGAAGAAATTGGAGCCGGCTGTACGCGATGGCAATAACGGGCCACGTGACCGGCGTAACCGCACGCAAAGCAGATGGGCCGGTTGTCGGGTGTGCGCCATCTGTTCACCGGGGTAGGTCTCACCCACGTCGCAAGGGCTGATGGACGGAACGGTGGCTGCATGGTGGACTGAAGCTGAGGCTGAGGGGTTACGTCAACATACGTAGCGGGAACACCCGCTGCAAAGGACGGAGGTCGAGCGGCAGCTTCGGCGTAAGTCAGAGGGGTGGTTGCTGGAACGACTTGGGGCGGCCTGGCGACCACTTGCGCGTAACTCAGGGGCGCAGGAGCCGGAGGCTGTGGGGGGTGGTACGCAGGCATTACCTCCGCTATTTCCTGCTCAATCGCTCGACGGATGGGAGGGAGAAGGGTAGTAGGCGATTGTTGAACAGTCGGTTGGTGGGCGAAGGGCAGGAGCGAGAACTGACGTGCGATTTCCTCACGGATGAAGGACTTTAGTTCTGCCATCAACGCCACTTGGTCACAACTGGCCTCCAAGCCAGCAAGCGTTGCAGCTCGTGGTGGGGAGCGTCGGGTCATCGAACGCTGCCGGCGGAGGTCCTCGTAGCTCTGGCACAGTGTGATGACCTCAGCCACTGTGCCGGGGTTTTTGGCGAGCAGCATCGTGAAGGCATCATCGTCAATGCCTTTCATGATGTTCCGGATCTTTTCAGACTCGGACATGGTGGGATTAGATTTGTTGGATAGGTCCAGGACGTCTTCAATATAGCTCGTGAATGACTCACCAGCCTCCTGAGCACGTTCACGCAAGCGCTGCTCGGCTTGCAGCTTGCGAACAGCAGGGCGGCCGAAGACGTTGATGATTGCGGTCTTGAAATCGGACCAGGTGGCAAAATCGGACGCGTGGTTGTTATACCACAAACTGGCAACACCCGTAAGGTAGAATACCAAGTTGGTCAGCTTGCCGTCCTCGTCCCATTTGTTGGGGACGCTCACGCGCTCGTAAATAGCGAGCCAGTCCTCCACGTCAGTGCCATCAGCGCCAGTGAAGATGGGTGGATCGCGGATTCTGGGGACACCGGGACAAGGGGGTGGCATTGGAGGAGGCGTTTGCTGAGAAGCATCGTGGTACATAGTAGATGGCAGGGTACGTGATCGTAGCTCCAAAGGCATAGACAGGGATCGCAGCACTCTCCACCAAATTGTTAAGGCGTTTACTAGCCGGCAACGAGCGAGAATATGTAATGGCGACAGTCACAACCAAGCACGGGCTCCCAGCGCGAGCGGCGTCCTTGTTGGGTAGCCCCACTAGAAGGTACTCAAGAGTTCGACCCATTTCAGCGTTCGGAGGCTTCGCTACAATATATATATATATATATATATATATATATATATATATATATATATATACGCTCAAAGTCGCTGAAGTTCGCTAAGAAATGCTTGGCATTTAAAATCAATGCAGAAACTTTTCTTTGGGTGTAGGGTATGTGGTACATTAGTATTGGCAAGTTGCCACTGTTGAAAGCATTATTTTAAAATAAATGAAAAATGCTACAGATATCTCATTTTCCCCAACCTGCGAGAGAAAACAAGACGCCTAATGGGGCCAAACAAAACAGTGTGAAAAAACTTCACTCCTTCAATTTTTGCTGTAAAAAGGCTTGAAATTCACTCTGTGGGCCTTTTTGCAGTGTTGAAAATCCCAGTACTTGTACTACACGCAATAAATATAGATAGAAGGAGGTGCTGTCTTGCTCCGAAACTTTTTGGAGACCAAACACCACCACTCATTCTTTGTGCTAATGTTGTCTTTTGGTGAACGCTTGCATTTCATTGTATAATTCAACAATTGAAGTCTAGGTATGTTTCAACATATCTTTTTCGCCTCTTATTGCCGTTTTTATGCAGAACCGCTAAGGCGTTTCGTGGCTTCAAAGTTTTTCTGCCCGGCTTTTTGCGGCAATGAATTTAAAACTTTGCTAAATTCCAATTTTCAGCGCTTGTCCTTTTTAATTCAGGTATTGGAGAAACGTAAATAAATCTCGATCCCAAAACGTGTTCGTGAATTACTTGACTTGGAAATTCCACCATTTTTAATGCGTCTCTTAAGAGCATCTCTGGGAACACCGAAAAACTTTGAAGCGGCACGAATGAAGAGAGTCATGTCCTTAACGGCAATCGGTGCTTTTTTATGTCGTTTTGTTCTATGAAGTTCTATATGTCATTTTTTTGCATTTTCAAACCTTTCTAAACAAAAATAATTTTTGTGAGCGCAAGGTAATTGTAAATTAATATGGCACTATGAATGACAATTGAATCCATTTTTGTGGCGTTTTGCCCCTCTCACCTGCCAGAATAAAAAAAAATTCGCTTTGTTGCCGGGCACCAAACGAACTAGACTTTGGAGCTATAAGGCTCGAAGTACAAAGTAACAAAATAAATATTTACGTTGCACTTCTACCATAGGTGTATATAACTTCATGCACAGAGCTGAAAATTTCACAGAGCATAATTTCGCCCGTTTTTCACGGGTCGCTAACACACTGCCACTAGGCGCGTAATATTTCACGCGAGAACGCTGTGAGTAATCATTAACTTTTACATACGAAAAGGTAGACAAGGAGCAGCACTTATTGCTGGAAAACAGAAAGAAAGAAAAATGATTTTTTGTATTAAGCACATTTTGCCCCGTGTCTTTTAGATGCGGAAGCATCTTATACTCGCGCCTTGTAGTGCGCCGTCCGCGCCGTCCGCACCGCTTCTCGAACATTCGACAGCTGACGCGCGCGCATGCGCCGTCGCCCACTCTTCCACCATCTGTGCATCCCTTCCTCCTCTACACACCGCGCGCGCTTCACTCCTCCACCATCTGTGCACCCTTCCTCCTCTACACACCGCGTTCGACATCTACAATTCTCCTGATTCTCCAGTGGACGCGCATGTGGCGTCGCGCTTCGAGAACATTCAACAGCTGACAGTGCATGCGCCGTCGTGCTGTATATATACTCAAGGTCGGCGCTCGCTCGCTCAGTTGCCGCTCGTCGGTTGGTTTGTACGGCGCGTCGACGTCCAATGTCGCGGTGAAATGAATTCCAACGAATCCACAAACACAATGATCGACGTCCCTTCGACCAGCGCCGCCCTTTCGCATACGTGTGTACGTGTTCACTCATTTAACACCCCCTCCTACAACCACGTTAACCAATTTAGCCATCGACCCAAGTAAGTCGCAATTTAACACCCCATTTCACAACCACGTTAACCAATTTAGCCATCGACCCAAGTAAGTCGCACTTTAACACCCCGTTAACAAATTATATGCTCCGCATCCTCCTCAGTGTTCCCCCGAGGGAAGCTGCGGGCAATTTTTTTTTTACCCCCACCCCTACCCTATCCCCTCCCCGTTGAGCAATGCTATTTTCGCGTCGAGTAATAAAAATGGCTTGAGTCAACCAACACTTCAATATCACAGCAACCGAGTAAGAAAGAATCACATTGTTACGAGTGAATGAATGTATTCTTTGAGAGGATGATTATTTTGGGGTGACTTTTAACGTTCTGATGATATATGCCTCAATTATCTTTTTTTTTGCAGGAGAAATGTCTATCGAAAACCAGCCTTCATCGACAAGTCGGTTTAGCCGCTTTTCTTCGCCATCACGCGCACAGTCCTTTTGTTTTATTGGTGAATCAGTAAACGGAAATATTAAAGACGAATGCTTTTGACGCCACATCAATTTCTAAAGTGACCGTCCACGTATCGCAGCGTCGTACACGAGTGATGAAAAAAAAAACGTTGTGACGCGATGACGCCGCTATATGACATCATCACGACGCCACAGATTGCCGACTTATGTGATGTAGTTACGATGTCAGCACGGTGCAAGATGATGACGTAAACATATGGCATCGTAGCTCGGTCAAAGGTGCTTCTATCGCGGAGGTAGTGGAAACGCTCAGATGCGGAAAGGTTTCGCAAATGTAGAGCGGAGGAGAGCATGTTTGGGTACAACGCGAGAATGGTGAAGATGGAATAGAGCGGAACGTACACGTACGAACGCTCACAAGCAACTGAAAATATTTATTTGAAGGACACATGAATGTGCAATAGGCACCCGGCAATGCCGTTGCCGAGAATTGATGGTAGCGCCAGAACCCACAGCCTAGCGAGTAGGCGCTTCAAAAACGAGTCCTCCAATGTGCAGCCTAGCGAGTAGACGCAGCAAAACCGAACTTGCGCGTGCATATCATTTCCTTTTTTTTATTGTAAGCAGGAAGTCACGGCTGATAATGTAAGCGCCCAGGTAGCATTCTTTGAAAACGTGCCAAAAAGGGCACTGACACTTCAGCGTGTCACTGTGTTAAGCTAGCGTTTCATTTTCTCAGTATCCCTGGTGGTCGGTACCAACAATGCTGAGGCGGCCAGAAAAGCTTCGTCGCACCATCTGGTCCACTGTCGGGTGCTTTTGCCGAGATACTATGATAAGATAGTTCTAAGACAAATAGAGACGTCCCAGATACGTTCCACGTTAACCCAAATGGGTGACGCATGCGTAAATGAGGCATCGTCATCTCTTGCAGACAAAAAGCTCACTTATCTACTCAGCACGTTGTGTGGTTGGGTGATAAGCTATATGTTACTTCTACCGTTTACTTTTAACACTTCTGTGCAATCTTGGTACATCTTTTGCAAGATTTAGATTGATACCTTCTTCATCTATAGATCATGCGAGTACGTACGTTGTGCTCTCTTCACTCTTCGTCATTCACACGTTGCAAACGAAAACGCGCTACCGTGCCAACTTGTCCAACTTTCAGTTAGATCGATACGTCAACTCCGAAGAACAAGACGAGGATGGCTGCTGCCTTTGATTCATCTTTGGCGAAATCATAAGATTCCTTTTGTGAGTACTTGTTTTTTTTTCCTTTTCTAAAGTATGTCTCTGGAAAAGACGGCTGGCTATGTTCGAGATGGATTAAGGCTCCCTTTGTGGCAGACGCGAGAGATGGTTGCAAAAAAAAAAGATCGTCTGAAGAATTCTGACGCTGCCAACTTTTCTATACGGGTACATTTACGCTTCAATGGAATTCAAAATGCGGGCCGTTGAATTTCCGCGAGTCTCGCGGGTAGTGTTGCGTGAAATGGCCGGATGAAAGCGGAGGAACAAGGGAATTTCGCAAATTCAATGATGGTCTAATTTACAGTCTTATTTAACGTGTGCCTGTGCATCTCTGTGGGTGCATGCATGTGCGCGTGTTCGAGAAAGATGCCACAAACACATTCAGGGACACTAGAAGTCCCTCGGTTTGAACGTGGTGATTTTGGGCTTGCAAAACTACGCTGATGAAAAAACAAAACAAAAGTGAGGAAGTGTTTTTAGATATGCACGTGCTGCTTTACGGGGTCTTCATACAACCTCTGAAAACGCGCGAAAAAAAAAAAAAACGAGCGCGGTATTCTTTTGTGGGGTTTCACGTCGTTACCGCAGAATTCGTGACACCAGCATTCTGTTCAGGTGACGTCATCAGTTGTTGATTAGACCCTGCCAGGAGAACGTCTGTTGTCACTTGTCTCCTACTATGCTTTGTCATTCATTCTCACACTCGTCAGGCCGCGTTCCGCATAATTATCGCGAGAGATCGGCGGATTCCACTTAGTTTTGGGCGTTCTCAACTGTGCACTGTCGTCCTTTATGGAAAGGAACACGCGATCGTGTGGCCTGCGCTCTGCGGTGGCTGCCTACAGCACCATCAGCCGACAGCAAAAGTAAACACGCTCGCTTTCAGCGTCATCTGTTGCCAAAAAAAATTATAGTAACGAGTTATGGGCGGCAGACAAGCGCTGCTAGATTGCATTCCCTCTCTAATCACGCATGCAATGCGTAGTCCACCACCAACATAACAAACGTTGTTTCGCGACCACGGCGCAAGCTGCAGTAATCGCTCGAGATCGTAATCTATAGCAGCGCTTGTCTACCGGCCATGACTTGTTATCTTGCTTGGCCATAGATGACGCCAAAAGTGAACGTGCTTTCTTCACTTGCCGATTGATGGCGCTGTAGGCAGCCGCCGCAAAGCGCAGGCCACGCGTTCCCTTTAATAAAAAAACGACAGTGTACAAGTGGACGTAACAGCGTGTGGTTGAAAGGCACAAATCTCGATAGGCAAAACGTGCAATGCTGCAATTTTTCGCGTGTTTTATAAGAAGTTAAGGGAGGAGGCCCCAGCGCTTCTTGGAAGGGTAGTAAAGTTTACAAGAAACCACTCTCTTCTGTTTAAACTCGAAGTAGATTTAAACCCTTTCACATTAGTTTTGTTTTTCGTGAAGTGCCAGAGAACTTTGCGCAGTTAAATTATACTTGACCTCCAGAAATCATTTTCATGCTTCGCTCCATAGAGTTTCCTAAAACTAACTAGTGAGGACTCTGGCACTGCGATCGTATGCGACTATAGGAATGATGGGTCTAGTGCGCCGATTTGCCTAGTCTTCGTACTTGCGGGTGGCGAATCGTACTTGTGGCTTCGTTTATTGCTGTGATTTGGTTTTATTTAGAAGGAAAAACCAAGCCATGGAACTTTGTGAACCGATTTGAAATTGTACGCCTAAAGGATTAAGGCGATGAAGTGCAACCACTGAACGTTCGCTCATTTTTGTTTCGTGACAAAACAGCTCCAACCCACACGAAAACACACGGATCCAAAAGTACGAAGATTAGGCAGCACCATGTACTACCCATCATTCCCATGCTCGCTGAAGCATCATGCGTTGCAGCTGCCATAGACACTAGCGGCAAACTTCCTTGTAGTGTAACTTTAGGAAACTCTATATATGTAGCGCTCTCGTGAAGACGAAGACACCATTTTGACTCTGAGGTTCGCATAAAGGGGGCGACTTCTTCATTCGTGTAAAAACACGCGATGACTCTGCATAAAGCAAAGAAAATGTAAATCTCTCCTTCGTGCTTGTTGAGTCTGACTGTATACAGCACGCGGTAGAAAATAGGGTACATTATTGTTTTTTTTTTATTATTTTCACGCGGAAAATACGGATCGAATTGTGGAATTATATTCTTCAACAGTGACCAACGCACACTTTGGCTTTGGCTCCGTAACCTTCCCTTCAGTGTCAAGAATAGTAGTCAAGTACACTTAAGTACGGCGTAGATACCCGTAGTTATTGGATCTGGCGAACTAAACGCCCTCACGCAGAAAACAACCGGCGATTCCTTTCGTGCAGCCAAATAAGCCAGTGAAAAAAAAAACATTTTAAAAGCGGAGCATTTCTTTGTCGCCCGATGTCACGCGTCGGCAGCGATGTCCACACCTCCACTGCGCATGCTCGCGCCTCGCGTATTGTGCCGACTGCTCGCTCCCCAGACCCTTTGTAGCCTCGCAAGGCCGACACAGACAGCGTCTGCTATAGTAAAAACCGACTGCTCAAGCAGCACAACCTTTCATTGTTGGCCACTGAATATGTATGCACTTGATCGCACATCAGCGTCCCACCAATCGTTTAAGGTAACGCTTCTCCTTCATTAATTAAATAAAAATAATAAAGTCAAAATAGCAATAAAAATTTTCAAACCATGGCCGATTACGTAACGTGCACGCGATACCCCCCCCCCCCCTCCACTATTGACGCATTTACTCGAGTTCCCCCCGCGGGAAATTTTGGGTGGCATTTTCCCCTCATATATATGTTTTACAATAAACAGAATTTTGGCTGATGTTCAACTGAAGGAATGATATTTAGAAAGACTTACTGACAGAAGAACGGTAGTTTTCAGAATTTGTTGAATTTGCGTATCACAAGCGTTTAAAGGCGAAGGAGCCCCGCCGCGGTGGTCTAGTGGCTAAGGTACTCGGCTGTTGACCCGCAGGTCGCGGGTTTGATTCCCGGCTGCGGCGGCTGCATTTCCGATGGAGGCGGAAATGTTGTAGGCCCGTGTACTCAGATTTGGGTGCGCGGTAAAGAACCCCAGGTGGTCAAAATTTCCGGAGCCCTCCACTACGGCGTCTCTCATAATCAAATTGTGGTTTTGGGACGTTAAAACCCCACAAATCAATCAATCAATCAATCAATCAATCAATCAATCAATCAATCAATCAATTAAAGGCGAAGGAGAACTTGAGCCATAAATAGCGGCCTGTGCAGCAATAAACCAATGCGTGCGCACGCTAAACTTCAGTTTTAGTCGCCGTAAGATTTCGCATCATCGTTCTCCTGACTCGTCAAATGTGAAGCCCACGGGACGGCTTACGCTCTCCTATAGTGTAGTGCCTGGTACTCTAAATCATTACCCACTGTTTCTACCCCCCCCCCCCTCTCTCCTAGCCAGCAACAGGGCTTTATCAAGTGTCAGGCTCACGGAACGGCTTTCTGCTCTTCCATAGTCGCAGTGAAGTTCCGTACTACGCCGAAAATTTCTCATTTAGAGAAGTCAGAATTTCATGTTTTGGGCATTTTCCCCCGCATACGCTGACATAATTCCCCGAATATTTCCGTGTCCATTATTTGCATTACACGAATGCCTCTTCATGTAAAAACAAACACACACGCACGCACACACCTAAATGAATGTGTGTGGCATGTTTGCGACTATTAAAATCAAGACTAGTGCCTGCACTCCCGCACAACAACAAAAGCACGATTTTCTTAAACATGTGCTGTGTGTACTACATCGCAAAAGTGCTCAATAAGTCCGCACCAGCAGTACTCGAGAAGATGCTT